GACTACTCATATATCCAAAGGTTTCTAGGAAACAACTCTAACGATTTTGATGGAATTTTGTATTCAGAAAATGTTTTTAATTTTAATGGTATCTGGAGATATTTGTACAGAGTGGCCACGTATTCGAAATTATTTATAATTTTTATTTCTAAAAAGGCACAAAAGATTCACTAAGAAATGAAAGTTAAAAGACATTTCAAATAAAACAAATTACTATATACTATAGTTAGTTCGATGAGTGTATGAAATTTCTGCGTGTTAGATAAGGTGCAAATTATTTCAATAAAACTCAACATAATGGTCAATCCGTATAGTGTTTTTTTAATCATATGTTATTTTGATTTAATTTGGTTTTTAAACAGGTAGAAATCCTACTAAATGTAATTCAAAATTAAGCCCTTTCAAAGCCGTTTTGGATGATACCCTTAGTGTAGTAATTTATTGAAATTTATTAAATTACATTTTTTGACAGGTGGCAAACCATCGCATGTTCCATATCCATATTGTTATAATTAATTTAACATATCGTATATACATTGAATTTAATTTTTAAACAGATGGTAATCCTCCCACATGTTGTTTAGAAATCAAGCCTTTTCAAAAACATCTCCATTGATACCCATATTGTAGTATTCATTTACCTTAATTGCATTTAAATTTTTTAGGAGGTGGCAACCCTTTTTATGTTCTTACCTAGATATAAACCTTCTCCGCGGCGATATGAATACGTAGGTATCAATGTTTCCTCAATCGGACCTCGATGCCATGGAGTCTATCGATGTCAAACTTCAAGCAACTTTATTTTCGTTGTTTTGGTCGAATACTTGGACATCCTCCCACTCTATTTACTCGATTTTAAACATTTACAGTTTTAAATATTGTAACACGTCGTTTCTAAATATTTTTAGTTACAATTTTCATAAAAATAATTTTGGCCGCCTAAATCGGCACTGTACATAAATATCGATACCTGAATGGAAGATCGACCCATGCATGTATCAGGGCAGCCAGTTCGAAAACGCTCTACCTCAGAAAACTTTTTCAGAACGCTCTATTTCAGAATTTCATTGAAAAATGCCCTTCTGAGAATTTGGTTGAAGAACGCCCCATCTCAGCACATTTTCAATGTATTTTCAGCTGAGATAGAACGTTTTTTAACCGAATTTTTAGAAAAGGCGTTCTTCAATTCTGAAGTAAGGCGTTCTTGAAAAGTTTTCTGAGATAGGGCGTTTTCGAACTAGCTGCCGAATAAATAGGTCGATCTTCCACTCAGGTGACGATACATAGAAATTTATAATTTGGTGTGATTTTTATTTCAATTTTCATTTATCTTTTAAGTTATTTAAAATTGTTATCATTGAAATCTCGTTTTATAAAAATTTTTAGGTATCCATGAAATTTTATATTGTTTTGTTGTTGTGTGAAAATTTATATGTATATGTAAATAAAAAATTTTCAGTATTAACTATTAAATTGATGTCGCTAAATATGTTATTTTACCTACCCTCTTTCCTAACATTGTGTGTCCCGGTTTCAAGAATTCAAAAGTTGGCAGCCCTGTTAATGATGTGTAAAATCTTTCTCGCGGTAAACTAAGCTATAACGAGAGCTATGAACTCCTAGAAAATCCGTGGAAACCGGATGCTACTTTTAAATTTCCTCCTTCGTCCAAACGTAATTTGAAATTTCAATTATCATGTGTTAAAGTGTGTCAAAAGTAATTTTCTACATTTGAAATTTAAATGCCAAGCTAATATTTATGTGGTATTCATCTAAACCAATAACTTTATCAATCAGATTTTCTTATAAATTTAAGAGCTGTGTTATATGAACGCCCCTTACTCTTTTCGTTTACACTTGCGACAGAGTTGCCTTGGCTTCAGTTTATTAAGATTATTCAGTAAAATCGTTGGAAAAATTTATCATAAATGTGTACATGACTTGGTCATGCAGTGATCATTAATGGCATTCAGGCGATAGTATCTTGCAATGGACCGATGCAAGACATTGTCTGTTATAAGTCTTTGATAGGAGTACCCCTGCATGACATTGTCAACAGTGTCATTGTCAGCTATATGCCGTTTAGGATTCACAGCAAGTGCGACGATGTCACTAAATCCTCAGAAGTGACGATGTTACCGGTGACTATTTTCGCTACTGGGGAAGTTTACACAAATACAAGTTTGTACAGTATATAACGTTTCTGACTGGTTGGGGAGTTGGGGCGTTTAAAATTTATTTTTTTCCATATAACAAGTTTCATCAAATATTCCTATATTTTAATTCCAACACCCCTCATCCCCCGAAAATAAATCTCCGCTCGCCCCTGATTAATTTCATTGAAATATTGAGACCGAAGATGAGGGCTGACCCCTGACGCTAAGTGAATGACATTTCGTAGGTCAGCCCTCAATTTCGGTTTCAATATTTCAAAGAAATTAATTATTTATGTATAATCATATGTACATATAAATTAATGAGTTTTTAATTTTAGATGACTGCTTTCTCGACAGACTCAGGCAGTTTTTCCATTTTCATTAATTCAAAATCGAAATTTCTATTTAAACTACCCTTATTAAAAAAATTTGAATAAAAGAATAATAAATAACAAAACAAACAAGTAAGAAAGTCTAAGTTCAGGCGGAGCCGAACATTAAATACCCGGCGCAAGTATTAAATATATATTTTTTCACCTTTCCGAAAGCTACCGCTAGATGGTAAGCCGGGGTGTATCAATTTTGAGTAAATTGGCGTCCTTCAATTTCGAAATATTGAAGTTTCAAGCATTTCTGAAATTTACCGTTATATGAACAGCGGCCGTAATTTTAGTCCGATTTCAATAATTTTCAACGCTTTGCTTTCATGTGGCAACCACAATAACCACACCGAGTTTGGTACAAATTGGTAGAACGGTTACCGATATACATATATGTGATCATAAGTGGGCGGTGCCCCGCCCATTTTCCAAAATTGTACCATAAAAGTATTTCTTGGTAAAGAATTTTTGCAAGCATCAATTTTGAATAAATTAGCTTCAATATTTACTGATTTATCGAAGATTTTGTATTTCTCTAAATTACCGTTATATGGGATGTGGGCGTGGTTATTGTCTGAATTAAAAGATTTTCGGCCATTTGGTATGGTGTACCAAGGCCAACAACTGTGCCAAGTTTGGAAGAAATTGGTGCAGCGGTTACCAAGATATACACATGTAACCACTTTCCAAAAATTTATAATATTCTTATTTTTCGTCTAAAAATTGTAGTAAATATCAATTTTAAGTGAATAATCTGCAGTAGTTACTAAAATATCGCAGTTTTCGTGTTTCGGAAAATTGCCGTTATATGGGATGTGGGCGTGGTTACAGTCCGATTTCGTCCATTTTCCATACCAACCTACCTTGGATTAAGGGAAACCTACATACTAAATTTCGTTGAGATATCTCAATTTTTGCTCGAGTTATCGTGTACACGGACGGACGGACAGACGGACAGACGGACGGACAGGCAGACATGGCTTAATCGATTTCTTTTTTCATCCTGATCATTTATGTATACATTTGTCTATATCTATCTCGATTCGTTTTGGCTGTTACAAACAACCGTTATGTGAACAAAATTAATATACCCTTGTGCACAAGTGCGCTCGGGTATAAAAATACTCTTCTATCCATCAACTGGACGCGATTACCAGTGTAACGCATGAGTTGCGGGTTAAATAATGCTCATGAGCTAACTTATTGGAAATTTTAATACTATGAAATCTGGTTTTTATTGTGTCATGATCAGTAAACGGATTTTTAGGACCTAAAAACCTATAAAAAAAGGCAAAATAAAGAGTTTTAAAGAGTATAGTTGTAGTAACATTTGAAGTTTTCTGGCAGCATTTTCATTCGATTTTCGCGAAGAAAAGCCTTGAATGTACTAAATGTGCGCTCGACGTAAGTTGATACAAGTGGAGCCCAATTTAAATATGGAACGTTTGAAACGTTCATATTATCAGAAATAAGGGCGTTTTCCTCGCCCTTTACAATTTTATCCACACCCCTTATTGTCTTCAAGCCTACGTTAGCTGAGAAAACGGCTTTGATTTTTTTCAACACCAATTTGGCAAGAGGTCCCTGTGCTTCTATAAGCCGCATGGGCATGTGTATATTTTTTAATCTTAAAAAAAAAAATGTAAATGCTATAATCACTTTTTTAAAGGTAGAAAAGGCAAAAAAAGGCAAATATCTTAAAAAAGGCAAAAAAGGCAAATATCTTAAAGAAGGCAAAAAAAGGCAACTTCAAATGTGTATATATGAAATCAGGGAAAGCTAAATCGTGGACATTCTTATTCGAATACAGTATATTTTGCTTAGCTGCACATCCTTCTTTGCACGAAAAACTTGTGCACGTAACCGAAAAAGGCACTTAAGCGAATTTTCTTTACTACTTCAATGAGGAAGGTATCCGAATACCTATGAAACCAAATATTGGCGGAGCACTTACCATGTAGAAATTAATGCAAGCGAAATTTTTACCGAATGTTATCTAATTATCTATATAACTACATAAATTGATAGCCATTTTCGCTGTTCTGCGAGATGGGCAAAATAAATAAAAGGTTGTAAAATTAGGTAATTGTAGGGCCAGTGCAGGTAAACGTAATACTTTCATTAATAATTGATACTAGTCGCACAACTTTGAAGGCAGGTATCGCCAATGTGCAGGTATGTTGAATGCATCTATCGGAGCAGTTTCCTTATAAATGTTAAAAATAATGCTTTTGATGTGCATTTTGGGGTAGGTATCTTAAATGTGCACTTAAGCATAGAGGCAGCAAAGCAAAATATACTGTATACTCTATCTCTTTAGCAGAAAAAAAGGCAATTTCCATAATATCCGTTCCCTGGTCATGACAAATTATGAAAATATTTTAAAATCCATAAATACAGTTTTATTTACTCAATTATATTATGTACATACTGTAAGTAAGTACGAGTATGTAAATTTTACTCACCGAAAATAACTCCCAATAAAACTCCAGACAGTGTCACCAGCAACATTAGATTATCTTGCAGCCATCTCCGGTAGCCGGTGAGTTCACGAGGCGCACCGCTCCGTTCGGTAGTTTTTGGTGGTAGCTCAGTTCCATTAAGAGTTGTACTTGTGGGCGGGCCCATTTTCGCGAAAAGGTAATCTGAAAATTTTTCAGATTTTTCCATGATATGAGTGTAAACCTTGCCCCAATCGGCCACTTCAATATATTCACTATTTGTTCAGCGTAAATGCGTACATTAGGCAATGGAAAAAGCTGCACAAAGCAAAATTTAAAAAATGCAGATAACAATTAAAAATATATGTAGATGTACGGCGGGGAGTGAAGAGAATAGTAAACACCAGATATTGCTTATATTGGAGGTTGAGTTTTATAACTTTCCACAAGCGATGTTTGCCTTGTCTTCCTTGTTTTTGGCTAGTAGTTTATTAATGTAATTGCTTATTGATCCATTGTATTGGTTTTGCCGTTCTATTATTGTTTGCTTAAATTTTTGGGGTAGCTCTTCTAATTAGCTGGGTTTGCACGTCAACGAATAGTATATTCCCTTTATTACAATTATTGATATTATTGTTGGTGTATTACGGCTATTAATTGCTTTTTAGATATTTCACATTGAATTTAAGTATATTAATTAAGTACGCCATCGATTCAGAATTCTGTATGCGGAAATTTCTGCGAAGTTCGCCGTTAATTGGCAAGTTATGAATATGGCGGTTCCAATACCGTTTTGGCTACCGATGCGGCGTTGTCTTTTTGGTACGTGAATTCCGCCCAGATGTATAGGCGAACTCGCCAGGGGCGCCTAGTTTGATTTTGAGTTTCAGTAATGGCTCCGTTGTTGTAGTTTGTTTAGAAGCTTTATTAAAAATTGTTTTAAAATTTCTTTATTAAGGATTTCAGTTAAAGAGATCTCTGTGTGCTGAATTGATTTTTGCTTTATATAAAATAATTCTCATTTATATCTAATAAATTATTAATTCAGCACTTTGTCAGTTTATTCAAGCTCCAAAGCGAAATGCGCAGGTTACGATACTTATTGAAGCGTTTTGATTTAAAATAACTTTAGAGACAGTAAGAAATCAATTTTCAATTTGTATCATTGCGCCCGAATATTCCGCGAAGAAAAAATCGATTTTCAGTCTTTCTGCTCAATTAATCTGTGTCAAGTATCCGCCAAATGGGAATGTTTTGCCCTTTTCACGTGAACTGTGAGTACACCAAAGGGCGTTGCACCGCCGTGAACGTTCGTGCTGTTTAAACGTCTGTAAATCCTAATTCCGTAAAAATGTCAATTGTTATTTGTTGACTACTTAAATGTTCACTATTTTCACACATCTGTTTAGTTCCTTTAGCTATCCATAAACTTTTTTGAATGCTTAAATTTTTTCCTAAATTCTTTTCACTCAAAACACAGCTGGTAAAACGCATCAACTTGTCTAATCCAAAAGACCTTAACTGAGTGAATGAGTATTCGTGCTCATGGAAAGCCTTTTTATACTTTACGCTCTCCACACAGGATAGACATTCAGGAGCAACTGCTAAGAGAAATAGTGAGGCTTTTTTACAGGCAGTCTATACTTTCCATGCTTTTTATAGCACTCAAGTGCATGGTACCATAGTTATATTTACCCCACCGTCACTCGTTTATTTCACTCCACTTCATAATGAAAATTCGTTCCAGTCATAAATGAACTGTTGAAAATTTTTACATATGTGTGT